ATGTGACTTTTGGTTAACTGGTGAATTTGATTATTATTGATGAATGTGACTTCGTTAACTGGTGAATGTGATTATTATTGATGAATGTGACTTTTTGTTAACTGGTGAATGTGTATATTGGTGATGAGTGTGTTTTTTTAGTTAATTGGTGAATGTGATTATTAATGATGAATGTGACTTCGTTTACTGGTGAATGTGATTATGAATGTGTATATTAGTGATGAATGTGATTTTTAGATTCATAATGTTTGTGATTTTTAGTTAACTGGTGAATGTGATTATTAGTGATGATTGTAATTTTTAGTTAACTGGTGAATGTGATTATTATTGATGAATGTGATTTTTGGTTAACTGGTGAATGTGATTATGAATGTTTATATTAGTGATAAATGTGATTTTTAATTGACTGGTAAATGTGATTATTAATGATGAATGTGTTTCTTCATTGGTGAATGTGATTATGGATGTGTATATTAGTGATAAATGTGATTTTTAGTTAACTGGTGGATGTGACTATGATGAATGTGATTATTAGTAATGAATGTGATTTTTAGGTAACTAGTGATTGTGATTATTAATGATGAATGTTATAAATAATGGGTGTGATTTTTAATCAAGTGGTGAATGTGATTATTGATGATGAATGTTGTTATTAATGATGTATGTGATTTTAGTTAACTGGTGAATGTGATGATGAATGTTTTTATTAATAATGCATGTGATTTTATTTACCTGGTAAATGTGATTATTGATACAGAATGTTGTTTTTAATGATGAATGTGATTGTTAACTGACTGGTGAATGTGATTAATTATTATGAAGGAGGATTTTATTGATGAATATGATTATTGATGATGAAATTGATTTTTTTAATTAACCAATCAATGTGATTACTTGATGAATGATGACACATATATATTGCTGGATGTGCAGTGTCAGACTGTTATGTAGGCAGTGTAATGTCTAGGTGTGTGTAAATGACAGATCTGTGTGTTTTCTGCGAGCTCTT